AAATTTATCTAGATTAAAAAGAATCTAGTTAAATTTAAAGAAATATTTTTCTCTGTATAGAAGAATGCAACAGAATAAATAATACATTGATGTTACTTCTTCGTCATTATTCCATCGATAAAAAGTTAAATGCTTCTGATAAGAGGACATCTCTCACCACATTATGTGTGCGATGGAATACTTTTTTATTAACCAATAACTACTCTTCTCATCACAATCTACCAATCGCATATTTGTTCCTAAAAGCGCAGTGGAATGCTTGAGAAAGTAGTGTAATTATTAAATTTGCAAGAACTTGCAAATTTATCGACTTGAAAGTTTGCATCATTTGTAAACAAAGGAAAGATAAACATCAGATGTCAGAGACAAAAATCAAATTTAACAATGATTGCTTAAAACTTCACGTAGAATACATTCTAATTAAAGAAAAGAATAAAAATTATTTCAAAAATTGATTAAAATCATTTTTTATACGATATGTGATATTATAACATTACCAGAATTGATGGCAATCCGTATATATGATCTTCAGTTTTAAAAAACATATTTAACATTCTAATACGCATTTAAATTCTTTTTAAAACAATTTTGCAACAATTTATGTGCAATTGGTTACTTTAATTTCCTTAATTCGTTAATTGTCATTTGCGCGCTTATCATTACATTTTGTATTAAGATTGTAAGTATCGTAATATACAGATGTCCGTATTGTTCTCGCATAGATCGTGTATGTATACATATTTTCTTGATTAAACTGCCGTCTCGATTTGTATGTAAGTATAGTACCGTGTAAATTTAATTGATTTATAAATTTTACCGCGATTTCAATTACATATATGTTAGGAGCTCGACTGTAAGGAAGACCTTGATCGACTTTTTGTATCAATATTTTTCGGCGTCGATCCATGCCTTGGGAAAATCAACGAATCATATAATATGAAAATTTGAAACGTGTGTGTGTGTGTGTGTGTGTGTGTGTGCGCGCGCGCGCGCGCGCGCGTACATATACATAAGTATGTAAATGTATGCATATCATATATCGTGTATCATATGTGTATCGTTTATTCATTCTCTTCTATTCTGTTATAAACTCAATCGCTAAGATTTTATTGTACAATATATATATATATATATGTGTGTGTGTGTGTGTGTGTGTGTATACACACACACATACACACTTATACATAGGTATATGACACTGACATAATAACTATATCTTGAAATCTTTAGCGTAATACAATAGATATATTCCTTTTAGCTGTACTTTCTGTAAATTACTAATTTCTTTCTAATGCATGCATTATTCCGTTTAAATAAACCAATAAATAAAAATAAAGTTTTCAGCTAAAGAGAATAGATCTAAAGCACGAACACTATAGATTTTCGAGACATAATTTAAAAAATAGTAAAGAAAAAAGAATAGTAAAGAAAAAAAGAGTATGCAATATACCACAGTGTTCGATTTTGCACACATCAGTCACAGCTCGGACTCGCGTATCGTTTCTTTTCCTTTCATTTATGTAAAGCTATGATTCATTTTGTGACTGCCAAATCGCTCGCTTTCAAACATTTTGTAAAATTTTACTTGCTACACATTTCTTATCACAATAGTTCTTTATATCTCATTATACAATTGTTCTACTAGTCTAACAAACTTTTACATTTTATATTTTTGCCATGAAAGATTGCATTGTGTGATGTTCAGATATTGGAAATTTTTGAATTTTTTAAAAACATTGATAAAAATGGACGTTAAAGGGAGAATATAATGCTTAGAAAAATCTTTATCTAAGAGATCAAACATTCGTTCTCAAATATGATTAACAAGATGGAACGCGAACGATGTCGGCCGTGTTCTTCTTCCTGCGCGAGTCTTTAAAATTAATTAAAATAAATAAGAGTTATAACGACAGAACATGCAGTGTAAAAAATTATCTACACTTATGTCATCAAAGTGTGTACTGCATCTTCGTCAATTTAAAATTTATGATCGATTTCAGAATGAGGGAAGTGCAGAAAAAGATTTCTTCGACAAATACTCATCATTATCATCATTTATATACTAGTTAGATGCTTGTTTATAATTTATATCCGAGACTTTTTTTAATTTGAAGCGCCTAATGAATGAGTAAGGACACAATGTGCCAAAGGATTTTGGAGGTACTACGATGATTCTCTATACAATTGCAATTTTTTTAAATTTGCGTGCAATTATTTTCTTCGTTCTGATAGATATCTTTCTTGAAATACATTTTAATAACTTTGGATATTAGTAAAAAATAATCTCTGAAATTTGCAATTGTATATAAATTCGAGATAATACTTCGAGCATTTTAAATATACAATTATTTACGGCTGCAAGTTGTGGGGGAAAAAAAAACCACAAAACTTGACGAGTTTTTTTTTTAAAAAGAAACGCACTATTTCAGTAGTTTGAGCATTCTTTCTTTACGCCATTCTATGACCATTTTTGAAGAAACTTTTTTACAATAACTTATAATTATTTATTGAATTAGACCATCTATGCAAAATGTGACTGTCTAAAACCGTCTGCTACGTAGATCCAGCAAATAATGCTGTTATTCCCGTATCAGCAGCATTCTTCGAGATCTCGTCCACGCGCACCGAGTGAGACTTACCAGATACCTCTATTCGCGGTAAATTGTCTATTTTGACTTCCTTGCGAAACAATTGACCTACGCTTCTGCCGATAAGCTGTAAAAGACGTATTGAAATCCAACCATTATTATTATTATAAATGAAAAAATACAACATGTAATAGAATTATGATCAATCTTACAGAATATCTTCAATTAAGAAATCTTTAATAAGATTTTTAATGCAGATTTTAAAGAATCAGACATGATATAAATTTCTTTTAGATATCGTGATCGTATACCTGATTAGTAATTTTCTTGAAGAGGTCCTTCTTTCCCTTTTCAACTTTGTTACCTTTCGTGCTGACTACTGACATTTTCTCGTCGAAGCGTTGCAAATCGGTGGGATTGATCCCCGGAATTTGCTGCATTACTTCGATGATGTTCGGAAATTTAGGTCTGAGACATTCATAGACTTGAGCACCCAAAGTAATAAGAGAACCTTGATTAGCCTCGTGCTGACCATGTAGTTGTAAACCTTGAAGAACTGCGACCATAATGTGCGCTGCCATAGAAGGAGTCAAACTGCCGTCGGCAGCTAGTGCTCGGACCACAGGCCCAGTCAACATCGTAGCTTTGAGACTTGCATTTGAATCATTCCATGCGAGCGCTCTAGAAATGCAAGACATTATTGTTAAGATACTCAAGAAAATAAAATTAATTGATAATGATTTTTTTTTATAATTGCAATAAAATTCGCAATCACATTTTTACATATGATATTGATATTGATTACATATAATTTTACCCCAATACACATAAGACGATGCTGTGACAAGTGGACGGATGACGTAAAATAGAAGCCCCGAGTTCACTGACGACTTCGGCGACGATGCTGTTCCCTCGCGCGAGAGGTGGATCCACCGCCATTCCTCCGCTATCTTGTTCCATAGTATCTGGAGGAGCGGCATCGCTAGCAGCTCCACCGACTAAAGCCACTTTTAACACATCGACGAAATCCCTCGTCAAATTCCTATTAAGCATGTCGTCGATGACTTCCTGCGTATCGGTATTTTCTTCATCCAAACTACCAGATTCATAGAGACGCGCTATATATTGCCACTTTGCACTTAATCTTTGACACACTGAAAAAAATGCATAATCACTTCATATTTAGTCCTGTTTAGTGTAATAGAAAGCACGCAAAAAAATGCTTTAATTACTCACTGTGTGTAGATACATGAGCCAGCACAGGTACTAGCACGCTCTCATAGAAAGCTGAAGGACATGAATATATAAATGGTTTCATGAACACACGTATAATCGGTCGTAGTCTATAGTCTGGAATCATCTAGAAGCAATTTTTTATTTTTATTTGGCTATAAATATATATATATAATCAGTATAATTATTCCAATTTTAATAAATTTCGCGCGTGCGCGCGCACGTGTACGTACGTACATGTATGAAATTTATTAAAATTTGAACAAATACAGATAAAGCAATACAATGTTATTAAATTACCTCCATGTTTGAGAAAACAGAATTCAACAAGGCCTGTGCGAGTCCAGGTAATTGATAGAAATCTCGGCCGATCATATGACAGCCACTGCCTAACATATGATAGCATTGGTCGTGAATCGTACTGAGGAATGATTGCATCCGAACCAGAGAAGTACTTGAGGTCTGGTCCGTTTCACTATTATTGTCGTTGGTTACGTTAACGCCCAGAAGATTTGCCTTCTCTGATTCCAAAAGTCCATAAGCATTTTTATAACCCTAAGATAAAGACATTCAACAATCTATTTAATAAGAAAGTAACATTTAATTTGATATGAAATTACGTTTTACTTGTAACAACTAGTATTTGCTTATCACAATACATTTTGCACGCTCAAATGAAAAAAAAATCAAATATTTATTGTTGCCAATATATTTCTATTACATAATTTCAAGATTAACTTCATACCTGATCCTTTTTCATCCAATTTTTGTATCATTTAAATTTTAGTAATCATGACTATCAATAATGTTATTTTAGATATAAGAGCTTCTATGTAAAAATAATGATTTATAGCCAGCGGTTTTTATGTTTGATCCTGTCTTTTATATATTCCATAAAAATTATAAAGATAATTGATTTGAAGAATTAAAAATTGTGAGCGAAAAAATAATGAGATAATAAATAATAATCTATTTCAGTTATCTATATATTTCATAATAAATGAAGAATATTACCTCGGATAGAGCAGCAAGAGCAGCATGACTGAAGAGACCGTTCATCGTTCGCAGTAACGAGAAGAGCGTCGGCAGGATAGGAATCACATGCGGCGTTGCTGGGTTTCGATATACCGGATTGCCGCTCTCACTAAGCGCGGCTACGAAACCACCTCTGGCCGCACGATCGGGATCTTCCGGAATCGAGCATCGTTTGACCACGCTCAATACAGTGCAAATACACATCATGAGATCACTGCGATTACGTCTGGCTGGATCTTCCAGCATATTTTCCACCGGTGGTCTGTCCAGTCCCACAAATTGCATAAGCTCCAGCGGTCCTTTAAACCATTCCACGCCCAACGCGATGAACTTGCTGGATGCATCGCCAATCACCTCCGTGACAAATCGAGTTTGTCTTTCATAATCACAAAAGTGATTAGAGATGAGAAGCAATGCCTCATATAGCATGACACTCTCTACTCGAGACAGCGGGCTCGGTTCACGGGTCAAACTGCGCACCATTGTGTGTATTTGCTCAAATACTGGCAGCAACAATAACGGATACTTGAGGCTAATCTTTACCATGAGACTAGCTGCATGTCGTCTCACATTTTTAGCTGCCCGCAAACGATTACGCTCGTTCTCGCCAGGTGCTTCGAATACCAATGCGGCAAAGATCTTCTCGAGAACACGCGGCAAAATAGCGACGCCCGGCATAGCCATCGAGCCTGTTGACATCGACAGGAACACAAAGAGAGCACTTATACAGGATAACAGGGTGGACAGTAGCCAAGGATCTTGTGGCGAATAACCCAGACAGAGCTCCAATAACTGTAGACCGGTTTGCACACTTGGTCGCTCGTTGATCAATAGGATCCTAGATACGACAGAGTCTAGTGCCAGCGCGAGAGCTTCCCATTCAAGATATTCTCGATCGTTCTGATCACTCTTATACTGCAAGTTCGCCATACCCTTGGTAATTTTGGCAGTCAGCCATTGTTGCACATACATAAATGTTACCAAAGGTGCCACCATAGTTGCGTGTCTAAATCCCTCCAATAAGTCCATTCTGAAGCGATGCAGAAATATATTGAATTCCTCTTCCGAATCGTAATCAACAAGGCAGTACGTGGTCATACCGTTACTCTGTCTACCATGTGGATATGTAACACGGATTAATTTGGGCGCGGTGTGTTCTACATACTTGGGCACATATGTAAGCAGCAATGAGTCTGTCTTGATCTGTTCATGCTTAAATAGCATTACCCAAATCGCGTTAGCTAAATGCGTGAGTGTGAGACTCGGATAAATGGTAAACGTGAGCACAGTATCCAGAAAGAGATTAAAATGCGTCGGTCGTATGCTAGAAGCGTCATCTTTTCCCCATAAGGCGCAGAGTTGTGTCGCCATACCAGTCAGTACCTAAAATAACATGAATAATCTTTTATAAATACTAAAATCGCAAGAAACAAATAAAATGTAAATTCATTAAAGTAGTAAGTAATCATGCAAGCATCATGCAAAATACCTGTGTGAGCTTTTTCAGAAATAGATAATGATTTTCTTGAAAATTTGTAGGTCCTGCTAGAGATGGTGGAGCAGTAGCCGCAGTATAAATAAATCTCAGAGCCTCCTCCGAGAAAAGGATCATCAGCTGCTTACGATCTTCAGCTTTTCCTTTGCGATTTACAATTTGAAGCAAACATTCTGCAGCCGAACACTGAAATATAGGATCTCCTAATAGGAGGCACAATATCTGCAATAATCTTCCATCTTCGGCCATTATGTGATTTATAGAGACCCATTCGACAAATCCGGTTAGCGTGGACAGCACTACCTATTATAACAAAGATAAAAGTTTTAATTCATTATTATTTTCCAATTATTGACATATGCACCTTTTACAGATGTAGCAATTTACCTGAACGACTTTACTGTGTGCTGCAGCTTCGGATGTTTGTCCTAAGGCACTTTTCTTCTGAAATTCTGAAAAGTGTTGCTCCATTAATCTCAGAAAGAAGCTAAAGATTTCTGCCATGTTTGTAGTCAATGCCTGATATATGTCTTTCCTTCTCTGATTAGACTCGAGTGTTTGTAAAAGCGCTACATCCTCCACTAGCCTAAGGAAAACCAACAAGACAAGCTCAGTCTGGCTCTCGCCTCGTGTACAAGCCTGACTGAGCTCAGCCAGCAGCGTAGGCCACTGCTGAGGCCATTCTCGTTTTATCATCTCGACTACCACACGCGATAAAGCATCCTTTATATGAGCCTCTTCCTGTAGCAGTGGTTGGGTACCCTCTTGAAGTAATTTCATTGCATTCTCCTTGATAAAGATCTTCTCTGATTGCGAGATTTGTGTCCACCGATATTTTACGCAGTGTTCCATTAATTGTAAACCAAAATGACGCACCACTGGACTTCTGTCAGGTGATTTCTGTGCCAAGTACAAGCCACACTGTGCACACAATGGTGAAGATTCCTTGAATCTTTCAAAGGCATTGTACATTTCCAAACGTTGTGGCTGAGATATGATAGGTGACATCATCATCTCGACCACTCGAGCCAATTCTGCCGATATCTGGGCGACATCGCCTACTCCGAACTCCATTCCTATTTGTACTGTAATATAATAGAAAACACTTATTACATGATATTTAAAATTTATTATTACAACCATTTTATCTATATCATATAAAGAGAGAAATAAAACAAAAAATCAAAATTTTTATCTCATCTCTATATCAATCGACAATATATATGCATATTTAAAAAGACAATTCTGCTTAAAGATTTTTCTCAAAAATAAACAATCAAAAACATATTGCATCATCATAATAAAGACGTTTGTATAAAACAATCTAACAAATTTATTTTAATAATTTTCCTGAGTTTAATTCTTCAAAAACGAATTGAATTCTTTTGCGATCAATTTCAAATTATTGATATATATATATATATATATATCAACGCGAAAAGAAAGCGTAATTTCGCAAAGCTGATGCAAGATTCTAACAAGGCATTAATCTCAGAGCCGGTATAAATAATCGAAGTGAGATTCTCTCTGGTGAGAGCAACTAATATACGCGAGGACACGAGTGAGGAAGTCGATGGCAAAGTCATTTATTGTCGACCAGGCCAGGTTTTTCGATCGCGAAAAATATTTACGGGCGGAAACATGCGGGCATCACGGCGTGGACACGCGTGGACGAAGCAGCTTGTCCGTGCGCGTGCACACCAATCATGCCTTCACCTACCGCGCGCGCAGTCGTTCGCTCACGTACTCACCGTATTTGACGCGAAATTGCGGTTTGAGCTTAACGGAGCTTGGCGGGGCCGCGTGAACGGCGGGATGCTCTCCGGCGTTACGGTGCGCGTCAATTCATACCTAGTCCGTCTCGGTGGGAGAATGCAGAGAGTCGAGGTGCGCGATGTAACGCTCGTCACAGCAGGCTCTGCTCTTTTCCGGAGATGCGGCACGCTGGCCGGACAATCGCATATACGATCGCGTGCTGCCCTCTCGGCGGCATCGTGCTACGCAGTCGATGGGTCGACCTAACCTAAATCTGGCTTGACCGGGCGTGTATGCGCACGTTTTTTTTCTGCCTGTTCGTATAAAAAAAGCAATCTGTATCTTGATCTATTTGCTTCCGATCGTTTCTTTGGGATATTTACATCGCGCGATTATAAACCGCTCCTCTTCCTTTTGTTATCGATAGCTCGACATGATAGTTAGTGAAACTAACCTCTCTCGCACTTCATAGGTTATGCCGGTTCCGCTTCCACGCGCGCATACACGTACGTATCAGGGACGTGAGAGAGAGGATGGACGAGGCAGTCACCACGCCGCCTACATTTAAACGAAGTTTTTTCGAGCGGATCTACTGCGTGGAGTTCTCACCATATGAGTGGTCGCAACATCTGATCTGCATCGCTCTTGCAAAGGAGATTGTCGTCGGTACTGTTAGATTTCAGGTTCGTGTGAAGATTAATATTTCTAAGGATGCGAATTATCATTGCCACAATTTTGTTAAAAACACAATTTTGATAGACCAATCTGTTAATGAAATCGATTGTCGCAAGTGGTGATGGATAATTGTGATGAGATTTGATGAAAATAATGAATTTTAAATAATAGGATGAAGACGATGCCGTGGAAGACATGGCGTACAATCCTATTAGAACGTTTCATCATGATGTCAGGCCCCATGCAATTGCTTGGAGTCCAGAAACCTCCTTGAGTATTGTTCCCAAAATCCTTACGTTCTGTGTTGCTGGAGTGGATTTCAAAATAAGATTATATAACAGTAATTTAAATAATATCAATGTATATGAGGTAGGCAAAACTTGGAAAGGTACATGAGTTTATAACATTATCAAATGTTATGATATATATTTTAAAGGTTTTAGAAGGTCACAGTGATTATATAAATGCTATCTCATATGAACCAGAAGGTGACTTATTAGCATCGGTTTCCGATGATCATACATGCAAGCTATGGGCAGTTAAAGAGAATCAAAAGTGCGTGTCTACATTTTACTTGACGTCACCTGGTACCAGTGTATGTTGGCATAATGAAGAATCTGGCAAACTCTTAGTAGCAGAAAAAAATGGCTTGATACGTATGTATAATGTCAGAAGTCAACAAGCAATTATGTCTCTAGATTCTGGGGCTGTTCCCTTGACTGCAGCAGATTGGGGCCCTAATCCATTGAAAGTCATATCGATGGCTGCTGGAGAATTACTGCTTTGGGATGTATCCAGACCGAGGTAATAACATATTTGCTTCTAAGTCTTGTATCACTATTATAAATTTTTTGAAAAATATTTTATCTCTAATTTCAGTCGTCCCCTTGATGAACATACACTTCATGTAGAAGGTGGCTTAACAGCAAAAATCTCACATTCAAATGAAAATCTAGTGTCTAGTATTGGATGGCCGGATAACTTGTTGAAAGTTGTCAATCTCAGGTCTAAAGTAGTAGTATTGTGTGGAAAGGTCAAGTTAGTTGGTGGTATGACATGGCACTATAAATTACCCTACGTCTGTGCTGGAAGTGACAGAGAGTTATGTTTTTGGAGAGTGAACGTAAATTAGAATATATTAAAGACTTATTTTATAAAGACTTTTTTTATTCTCCATGAATTTAAGATATTATATAGCAATTTATTAACAATATATATTTCTTTTACCTTATACCTTAATTTTGTATAAGTTAATTATGAGTGAACCATTATTGTATCAAGGTAAAATTGTGATCTGAGTCGGGAACATATTCCTTATTGCGAATACTCGCGGAGTTACATTATATATATATATATATATATATATATATATATACTACTGTATAGAAGATACCGACCCCCAACCTAATTAACGAAAAAACTAAATTAAAGTTTACTT